CCGGCACGGAGGTTGTGCTGGTTCTCAGCTCCGTGCCTGTTTCTGCTTCCAGGTGCCGTGGCCTTGCTGGGTCTTGGCACAGAGGTTCTGCTGGTTTTCTGCACAGGGGTCGGGCTGGTCCCCGGCGCGGAGGTTGTGCTGGTTCTCACCTCCGTCTTTGTGCTAGTTTCCGGCACGGACGTCGGTCTGGGTCCTGGCGCGGAGGTGGTGCTGGGTCTCGGCACAGGGGTTCTGCTGGTTTTCGGCACGGAGGTTGTCCTGCTGGTGGCCACGTGGGAGGTCGCCTCGGGGCTGGAGCTGCTCACCCTGGAGGTGCTGGGCACGGGGACAGGTGTCGGGGGCGGGCAGCCTTCGCGGGGCTCGCAGCACAGCACGCGGATCTCGTAGTTGAGGCACGTGCTGCCGTGGCCCTCCTGGTCCCGGTTCCGGCACACCAGGCCCACGTCGGGGTCGCACTGCACCACCTGGCCCAGCTGCTCGATGCTGACCTCGGGGTGGCTCTCGGCCCGGCACTCCAGGTGCGTGATGTACTCAGGCCGGGTGCAGATCTCCTCCCCGCTGCGGAGGATGTTGCTGTAGGTCTCAGAGTCGCCGCCGTGGGGCCCGGGGGACGGGAATTCCACGTCGAACCACTTGGTCCACTTGCACTGTGGCTGGCAGTTTGTGGTTCCGAGAGTGGTCACCGTGGGTGTGCTGGCTATGACCCCACTTGTCCTCAGCCCTGTTCCTGAGCTTGTCCCTGTCTGTTTCGTGGAGACAAAGTGGGTTGCTGTGGTCCAGGGGCTTTCTGTTTTGACCCTGCTTTCTTGTGGGGTTGAGTGTGATCTCTCGCCTGTTGCTTGGGCAGTTGTGCTCTGTCTGCACGTATCCACCAGCTCGCAGCACTGGATCCGGATTTCGTAGTTGTAGCAGATTGGCGGCAGCTGGTTTTTATTCAGGCACAGCAGCCCCAACTTGTTGTCACAGATCACGTCCTGCCCCAGCTCCTCCAGCGGGGTGTCTGGGAACGCCTGTGCCCTGCACTCCACTTTGCTGGGCTTTTCACAGAATTTGTATCCTTTGGATCTCAAATTTTGAAAAGTGTCAAAATCTCCGCTGTTCCTGCCAGGCCCAGGGTAACTGTCGTCGATCCACCGAGTCCAGCTGCAGAACTCTTGTAAACAGGAGATGTGGGTGGGCTCCGGTGGGGTTGGCTTCCCTGGGACCTCCGAGGACCCCGGGGCTTTGGTAGACTCGGAGCTTGTGGCTGAAGCTGTTGTGGAAACTGACATTGGACTGGAGGTTGAGAGGGTTGTTTTCACAGTTATAGAAGTACGTGGGGCAGGTGTAGGGGTACCTGGGGCTGTTGTAGTGATACCTGGGGCAGGTGTAGAGGGACCTGGGGCAGGTGTTTTACCAGTGGTAGAGAGGGTGGTTGGGCCAGTTGTGGTAACAAGGGCTGGAGAAGCCGTGCTCCCTGTCGGCACAGAAGTGACCCTGCTCGTCCCTGGCGTGGGCCCAGTTTCAGTTGTCCTGGAGGTTGCAGGAGGGGTGGTCTGCGCTGCATCACCAGAGGTGGTGCAGGGCAGGGGGGAACAGCACAAGATTTTGATCTGGTAGTTGTCACAGAGCCCTGAAGCTTGGTCTTTGTTGTAACAGGTCAGCCCCACTGCTGGGCTGCACTCCACACGCTGCCCCAGGATTTGGAGTGGCACCTCGGGGGCAGCCTCGGCTCGGCACTCCACCGCCCTCGGCACCCGGCAAACCTGGTACCCATGGGCACGGAGGTTCTCCAGCGTGTCAAAGTCACCACTGTCGATGCCCCGTCCCGGACGGCTGATGTCCAGCCACGCCGACCACTGGCACTCCTCCCCACAGTCCGGGTGAGGCGAGGTGGAAGCTGTCGAGGGCGTGGGCCTGGGGGTCGTGCCCGTGGGGCTGGCTGGGGCACTGCTCGGAGTGCTCTCGGTGGGACTGGGGTACGTAACCGGCAGGCGTGTCGAGCTCACCACTGAGGGCAGAAGAGAAGACAGGAGGGCCCAATGTCAGAGGCCTGCACTCGCTCGGGATCCTCGAGGACCCCCCCCCACCCCCGTCGTCTCCTGTGCTTCCTCCTGTCCATCAGCAGCCTTGTGGGTCTCACCATGTCAGTCTGTCTGTCTGTCTCCACCCAAGAGGGGAGTGTGGGGAGAGCGGGCACCAAGCCAGCAGGAAGCCCAGCACGCAGCAGGTGCAGAGCACACAGCCACTGAGCAAGTGGGTGAACTGCTCTCGTTCAAAGGAAGCCTGCTCCCCAAGCAGGCTCTGAGCTGAACCATGGGGCCCCCAAAAGCCAGAGTTATGGGGCTCTTCCTTCTTGGGGGAAGCTCTGGAAAGGCCCTAAGATGCTTCCCTAAAAAAGGGAGAGGTCTTGGGGGTGCCTGGTGCTCAGTGCAATGGGGTGGGGGGCGGTGCAGTGAATGGGGTGGGGACCCCCAGGTGTGCTTTCGGTGGTCCTCCTCCCGGCCCGCCTCGCAGCCACCACCCCGGCTGGGAGCCCCAGCCCTGAAGTCACCCTGGGGACATCTGGCCTGCCAAGGAGATTTGGAGAGGCTGACCCTTTCCAGCTGTAGGGAGGCTGCCAGAAGGAAAGGCCCTCTGCCCGCTCCTGATTCTCAGGGCGAAGGACAGCCCTGCACAGTACCCAATGTGTCCGCCTTACCGAGTGGGGCTGTGGAGAAGGAGAAGGTGGTTTGGGGGGCGGGGGTGGTGGAGCTGCAGGCGTAGACCCTCCGGTCGATAGTGCCATTGGTGCCGCAGTGGGCAGAGATGCAACCCCCTGTGCCGTCCGTCGTGTGGTAGATGACGTGCCCCGGGCGGAAGCGCTGCCCATCGTAGGTGCAGACACAGGCTGTGGGGAGCAGAGTGGCAGAGCGCTATAGGGGGCTGGGGCGCGGGTGGCGACCCCAAGACCCCAGACCTGAGGAAGGCTGCCCGCTGCTCACCCTCGGCGTCGTAGGTGCACTGCACGCCACTCTCTGTGCAAACGCTGGCGACAGAAGGAAGAAGGTGGGTCTAGGGGTGCAGGTGTCCCCCTGCGCCAGGGTGGACAAGTGGGACCAGCCCCCACAGGGGTGCCCTGGGGCTGCATCTCAGCCCTGCCAGTAGACAGGGAGCCTGAGGTCAGACCCTCTCGGGGGGCCTCCTTCCAATCAATGACCAGTGGAGGTGGGGGTCCGGCACGGCCGAGGAGCCCCACTGGTGTTCTGATGGCCTTTCCTCTCTGGGGCGTCTGTCCCAGGGATCCTCGGGGTGGCGTCATGGCTCAGCTTCCCCTCTGCCCACCCTGCATTTCCCTCTTCCCTTCACCCCGAGGCCCCCACCCGCCTCTTGCAACAGGGGGCACCTGGTCAGACCCCACAGGAAAACCAGGCTGTGGAGACCCCTCCTGGCCCTGAAGGGATGAGGCCCCGAGGGAGGGGGCGCTTGCTCTGAGGGTGGTGGGTCAGGCAAATGACCCCATGTTCCAGGCTCCTGACACCTCTGGCCCAGCGACTCACCAGGAATGGCAGTTCTCATCTGAGGGGACCGGCGTTCCTGGCTGGTATGACTTGCCCTGGATGCGGCAGGGTGACTGTGGGCATGTGGCCACACACTGCATCTGGTCCTCGTCAAAGAGGGGGGCCTCGGCTGGGCACTTGGGGTAACAGCCTGCGGGCCAGAGAAGCCTGAGTCTCAGCCAGATGACTGCCTGGCCGCCTCACCCCCACGGCCTCTGCTCACTTTCCAGTCCTGGGCCTGGCCCACAATACCGGGGGGATCTTCAGGCTGCGCCCACAAAGTCACCTCAGGGGGTCAAGAGGAGTCCAGCCTAGCCGAGGGTCCTAGGATCCCCAGGACAGACTCCAGCCCTACCCATGGGGACCCCAGGACAGACCCTAACTCCAAACACAGAGACCCCAGGAAAGACCCCAACACCAACCATGAGAACCCTAGAAAAGACCTCAACGCTGACCTCGGGGACCCCAGGAAAGACCCCATCTGAGATCACAGGGTCCCCAGTACAGACCCCAGCCCCGCCCACAGGGTCCCCAGTACAGACCCCAGCCCCGCCCACAGGGTCCCCAGGACAGCCCCTCTCAGGCCAGCAGGGCACAGCGCACCTTCTAGGCCACGCACGTCATGCAGGCACTGGCCACTGGGGTTCTGGCAGGTCTTCATGCAGGGCGCCCCGCAGGGCTGATAGTGCCACTCGCACTGGCCCTCGGGGTTGTAGTAGTCGCAGAAGAGAGCTGCAGGAGAGAGGGCGGCTCAGTGGCCGGGCTCTCAGCACCTGGGGGGAGTGCCGCCTGGAAGGACAGCCTCGGACCCATGCAGGCTCCCCTGCACCCTGACCTTTGACCACGTCCTGTGGGCTCCCCTGTGCCTCCCAGATGTGGCCATGGAGGGCGTGGGCCTAGGATGCCCAAGAGTAAAACAGGGCCATGGCGAGGGTGGCTAGCTGGGGGTCTCGCCCTGGCTTCTTGGGGGTGCCACCCTCCAGGGTGGAGACTCCAGCCAGAGCAGCTCCGGCACTAATTCCCCTCCAGCTAGGCTCCACCTGGGCTGGGCCCTCTGCTGACATTTTGGCTCCGGAATGTTCTACCATGCCTGCCACACCTCCATCAGCAACAAGTCCCCCATTTTATTTCCTTCCCAAGCCTTCTCTCCTCTCCCGTCGGTGGGTGGACACTGCTTTGCCGCCCACATATGCCGCACCCCCCCCGCCCCCCGATGGACACATCCCTGTGCACTCACGGCAGACGTCCGGGGACCGCCAGGACACGCACACGCCCACCTCGTGGCAGGCCTGGGCGTAGGCGGCCACGGCCGTGCAGAAGCACTCGCAGTCGCCCCCAGAATCGCAGGCACATGCGTCACTCACGCAGGCCTCGTAATACTTGGCCGGCTCCACCTGTGGGGGGGGAGGCTTCAGACTCAGGACACTCCCCCAAGTATCCTTGGGGATCAGGCCCATGGCCCCGTGTTGGCCTCAGCAGTTTTCCCCGGAGCTCAGGAGAGCAGATGTGTGGTCCCCCACGGCTGGTCAGACCCATCCTACCAGCCACAGGCCTGTCCTGAAGGGAAGCCCCCACCCCAGCAAGGGTCCCTTCCTCCCCAGGTGCCCAGAGGAGCCCCCAACACCCCCAGCCCCTGGCTTCATACGTGGGCATGACAGGTGGCGAAGGTGGCGCTGTTGATGATGCTGCACTGCTTCTGGGCCCAGGACTTTCGGTACGGGTTGGCGCTGCAGGGGTCCTTGGGGGCTGGGGCATCCGGGCAGGACGGGGAGAACTTCCAGCTGTTGCCGAACTCCAGCGCGTTGCCCACCACGGACTGGCTCCTCGTGGTGAAGTCGTTGACGGCGTTGTCATCGAAGTTCCCACACAGCCCGCAGACCCTTCCCTGCAGACGCAGAGACGGACGGGGCCCAGGTGCTCAGGGCATGCACAGGAGGGCCCAGGCCCCTCCGAACCCTCTTCCTCCCACTGGGGCCCACACTTTCCTCAGGAGACCCCAGGAGGAGGAGTAGGGAGGGCGAATCCCGTGCAGCCCCACTTGGCACAGAGGCCATGGGGCTGTGCCTCAGTTTCTCCCGGAGGAAAGGCATGGGAGAAACAGCATAGTGGGCTAAATGGTGTCCCCCAGAGGCAGGCTCAGGCCCTGATTCTGGGACCCCTGAGCACAGCCTCATGTGGAAATAGGGTCTCTGTGGATGGGATTCAGTTACGATGAGGGCGTCCTGGATCAGGATGGGCTGATCCAGTGGACTGGTGTCCTTATAAGATGAGGGAAATTTGGACAAAGTCACACACAGAGTGATGACAGGAACGTGAGGACGGAGGCAGAAGTTGGGGTGATGAGACCACAAGCTCAAGAAGGCCTGGGGCCACCAGAAGGTGGGTGGGGCAGGAAGGGTCCTCCCCTAGAGCCTCTGGAGGGAGCACAGCCCTGGGACACCTGGACTGGACTTCCAGTGTCCCAAAGCCCGAGAGAAGGAGCCAGCAGCTTGTGACAATTCGTTCGGCAGCCACAGGACACTAACACACCCAGCAAAGGGTCTCGGCCTTCCCACCTCCCTGGAGGCGAGACTGGGGTCAGGCCTTCCTCTCTGTCTCGCCTCGTCTCTGTCGCCATCTCTCTCTCTGTCTCTCCCTGTCTCTCTGTCTTTCTCTGTCTCTCTGCCCCTACCCCATGCCCCCTGTTTCCAGCCAGCCCTCGGTCTGGGGGTGAGGGCGGCCGTTCTGGACCAGGGCCTCACCTTGAACTCGGGGCTGAGCCTGATGAAGATGCTGGTCTTCTTGTCCCACAGCAGCAGCAGGCCGACCTCGGTGTCCACCACCAGGTAGATGCCCATATGGCGGATGGAGTAGGGCACCTCCCGCCCTGCACCCTTCTCAATCACCTCCACTTTCCCATCACTCAGCTTCAGCTCGTAACTCTGCATAAGGAAGGGTCCCTCAGGGCCTGGGTGAGGACCCTGGGCCACCACCTGGGTGGGTCCATCGGCCCTGCGGCGCCTGTCTTGGCTTGGCCATGGGAGTGCAGCCTTCCTAGGGTCTCCCTGGAGCCTCCCAAGGGGGTGCCCCTGGCCCCCACCCACCCCCCACTCACCCCCAGGAAGATCTTGATGGCCTTGGAGCAGGTGGTCCCCGTGGTGCCACAGGGGACATTCTCGGTGACGACACGGAAGGCTTCCTGGGCGCTGCTGTTCTGGCCACAGTGGTCCTAGGGGGAGGAGGAGGGTGTCCCAGAGGTGAGGCCGGCCCTGCCCACCTTCCCGCCAGGAAGTAGAGAGGCCAGGTCGGGGCCGTCCGGGGGACACACTGCAGGAGCGCCAGGCTACTCGAGAGCAGGGGGCCCCATACCTGGACCAGCGTGTACTCGCAGTCCCCGCTGAAGCTGTAGCGCTGCCCGTCGAAGGTGAGGTAGTGGCCGTCCCCGTAAACGGCGCAGGTGGCCAGGCAGGGCTCATCCGTGCACTGCCACACTCTGCTCTTGCAGGTGCTGGGGTGGGGGAGCTGCCCGTCAGGCCAAAGCCGGCGGGGGGGGGACGGGTGCCCCTCCTAGAGGCCCCCAAGGGGCCTTTCGGGTGCCTGATGGGGGTCAGCCTTCAGGCCCTGAGCAGGGGACACAGGCGGGCTGGGTGGCTGCACCACCAGCGACAGGACCCCTCTGCATTCCCGCCTCCTAGGATGGGGCTCCGAGCCCCCCCACGTACCAGGTGTTGCAGCCCACCCGGATGGTCTGGCCGGCCTGGTAGCTGGCCTCGTTGTGCACACAGGGACAGTCAGCCGCAGCGATGCAGCCACCTTGGCCGTCAGCCACCAGCCCTTGGGGACACACGCAGCCGGACACGCACTGGGAGCTATACTGTGGGGCAGGGCAGACACAGATGAGTGGTCTTGGGGACAGATGGAGAGCAAAGCGCCCTCTCCAGGCCCTTTAGCAGGGCCTGCATCCTGCCGGCTGGCCTGCTCAGGGGCCACAGGGCAGGGGGCCCAGGAAGCCTGCGGGCAGGGGTCCTCTTGGGACTGGCCTGGGTGGGCATCTCTGCAGGTGCTCTCGAGGGCAGAGCAGGTGTGGGGTCATCGGGATTCATCAGGGTCATCAGGGTTCTCAGAGGTCACTGGGGGGTCACAGGGGCACTGGGGACACTTACACAGTCCATGTCCAGGGTGTGGCAGCTCTTCTGACAGCCAGCCCCGGCGGCCCCGGGCGTGGCGTTGCGGCAGTCGAAGTAGACCATGGGTGAGGCACAGACTGGGGAGGGGAGAGGGTCGTTCAGGGGACCCCGAGCTCCACCCGCCAGGCTCGTGCTGAGGGACACAGGCTGCTGTACGCTCGACGTATGTGTTTCCCAACAGCCGAGTCTGTGGCTGCCCTGGGGTGTGGCCAGCACGTGTGTGTCTGTCCATGCGTGTGCATGTGTGTGGTGTGTATGTGAGGCCCATACACCCTTGCCGCCCCCTCACTGAGCCCAGAGGGCATAGACCAGCCTGACAGAGATGCTGATCAACACCCACCAGCCATGCTGACGTGGGGAGCGTCAACACGAATCTTGGGGGTTAGATAACCACAGCCCCTCCCGCCCTCCCTGGTGGGCTCACCTGGGGCAGGGGTATGGCCTCCAATGCAGGTCAGCCTGCCCTGGGTGCAGGTGCTGTGAGGAAAGGGTGGTCAGAGGGCAGCTCAGCCCCACTGGTCCCGCTGTCCCGCTGTCCGCCCGCCTGCCCGACAGGGATTCTTACCAGACAGCCCCGCTCTCGTGCAGAGACTCCCCGTTGGGGACCACAGAGCCTCCGAGGTAGCAGGGACAGCTGGTGGCTGGCACACACTTGCCCGTGTCATCCAGGAAGGTGTCGTTGGGGCAGGTGCAGCCGTCCACGGGGACGAAGCTGATGCCACAGGTGACGTCGTCTTCGCTTCGGGCACGGCAGGTGGGCTGGCAGGTGCTGATGTGGTATTGGTAGGTCATCGACTTGGGGCAGGTGGTCATGGGCTTCGCTGTGGGATGCCAAGAAACGGGCAGTGCTCAGGACAGAGCCAGCAGTTGTCCCTACAGGCCCTCCTGGCTCCCCGGTCCCCACCAGTTCCCCCCTCTTTGGCCTCTGAGCCCAGAGCAGGGGATGGGGGCCCATGGAGCACCTACCCCAGGGCTTGTGGGCCTCAGGCTCCCTGCATACTCACTGCAGACGCCATCTCTCCAGCCGCTGAGCAGCACGCCCCGGGCGGCGCAGGCCCACACGTAGGAGGACAGAGCCGCGCACAGGCACACTTCGCTCTTCTCACAGTTGCACGTGTCGAACATGCAGTTCTGGGGACGGGAACGGTGGGGGGCCATCAGGGACCCCAGCCCACACACAGTGAGCACCCCCCACACTGCCGGCCCCTTGCCTCCTCCAGGACCCCTCCCTGAGCCCTCGCCAGTGCCCCCACTCCCTTGCACAGAGCATCTCCAGGCTGAGCTCCCCAACTGGGCGGGGCTGCTGGAAGGACACCGGCCCTTTTTCTTGGTGACCCAGCAGGTCCAGGCCTGCACGTCGGCCTCAGACCCCAGAGCATCTTGGGCACCACCAATCTCTCATCTGGCCCTGAGGCCCAGCAGGCTAGATGCTCGGGGTTTGCCCCCATGCCTGATGTAGGGCTGGGGGCACAGGGCAAACAGCAAGCGTGTGGTGAGGGAGGGAGGGAAAGAATGAATAAAGCGGGACAAGGCGGATGGAGACCAAGAGCCTGCTGGCCCCAGACCCCGCTGCCACAGCCCTCAGGACCATGCTGGACCATCCCAGACCCCCTGAGGGCGGCTGCGTGGCCGGAGGGCAGAGCCGGTGGGCAGTTACCGAGTAGTAGCTGCTGGGATTGACCGCGCCGTGGCACCCGGCAAAGGGGCCTTGGGGGTCCGTCAGCTGCGAGCACCAGTGCTGAGCGTACTTCTCTGTGGACAGGGGAGGTGGGGTCAGTGGCCGGGCGCTTGGCCTCAGACAGAAGCCACACAGAGACATGCAGCCTTCCTTTCACCCTGAATTCCCACTGCTCTGCCTAAAGCAGCGCCAGGCAAGAGCCGGTTCCGGGGGTCCTCCGCCAGCCTGGGTGGGCAGGCATGCGGGCCTCCACGCTCCTCCCTGCACCCGGGCAGCACCCTGTTCCTTTCCTTCCAGAACTTTCCACGAACTGCACACATGTTGGCAGGCTTGCCTGTTAACCCCCTGACCTACCCCCTTCAGGGCCGGAGTGGAAGCTGGAGCCCGTGCCTGGACCTCACTGCCAGGGGCACCAGCAGCCAGGTGGCCCGCCGGCCTGACACACATACCGTTCTCCACGCTGAGGGAGCAGGGGTCCTCGAAGCTGTTCTTGACGTTGGGGCAGGCGGCCTGGGTCTTCCAGGTGTTGGCAAAGGCGGCGGCCGTGCCCTCCACCACGCCACTGAGTGTCCGGAAGTCGTCCGCCTGGACGCTGTTGAAGTTCCCGCAGAGACCTGCAGATGGGAGGGTGGAGTGATGCCCTGAGTGCCCTGGCCACAAGGGTAGCTCGGGCCCCCAGGGCAGGTGGCGCCTCTCACCGCAGGTCAGCCCCCGGAGTGTGGGCGCCAGCCTCACGAACACCTGCATGGCGGGCACCAGCTGCACCTCCAGCTGCAGGCCCAGGTTGGTCTGGACGATGATAAAGAAGGTCGAGGGTCTGAAGAGCGTGACGTTGGCTGCGGACACAGGGGACAAGGATGTCAGAGGGGCGTGAGGGGCAGCACCTTTGGGGGGCCAGGGCCGGCGCCCTCACCTGCTGAGACTGGCAGCTGGGTGTAGATCTGGTTGACGAATACCTCCCCGCTGGCCTTGACCACGATGACCTGGGCGCAGCACAGAGCAGGGTGAACGAGGGGCCGACCAGGGACGGCTGCACCCCCAGCGGCCCCCAGAGGCTGTGAAATGTGCCTGCAACACCTCTGCCTGCAGGGGCGCAGGCTCCCGTGAGGAGGGGCTGATGACCCGTGTCCCCCCCCCCCCCCCCGCCCATCCTAGGTTTCCTACGAGGGTCCTGCACTTTTCAGTCACAGGAAAACCAAATTGATTTTATAAAATAGAGAAACCGACTTCGGCAAAGAAGCCGTGCTGCCGGGAGGCCCCCGAGTCCCCCTATCCTGGGCCGGTTGGGGTGGGTGCGGAGGCCCCGGGCAGGTCCTGGGTGTTCTGTCTGGGGATGAAACTCAGAAGACCCCCGAGAGGTGGACACAGTGAATGGGGCGGGAGCCTCCTCTGGCCATGCAATGGCTTAGGCAGGGGTCACTTGCCTCAGGAGACGGGCACCCTCCCCCAGCACCCAGGGTCCCCGCTCACCGTCTGGCCCCCGTCCAGGCTCAGCGTCAGGCTCTTGAGGCAAGTCTCGCTGTCCGTCAGCCCGCACTTGCGCAGCTCAGCCAGCACGGTGAAGGCGCTGCTGTTGCAGGGCTGCAGACACGGTCCTCATGCTCCACCCCACAGCCCCAGCCTGCCTCACCTTCCCCTCCTCCCTGCCCACCCTGGAACCCCTGTGGGGCCCGGGCCAGGAGCAGGGGCAGTTCCTGGAGGACTCAGCATCTGGGTGGCCCCAGGTGCAGCAGCCACATTCAGCCTGGGCAGGGGAGGGCTGGGTATGGACCCAGGGCCGGGCGGGGTCCCAAGGCTGCTCTTTGGGGCGGGGCCCCAGGGCCTGTACCTTGGTCAGCACGTAGGTGCAGTCACCATGCACAGTGTACAGCCGCTCGTCGAACGTGGAGAAGTGGGCACCGCCCAGCACGGAGCAGGTGCCTAGGCACGGCACCTCCTGGCAGCTCCACCGCCCTCCGGAACAGGTGCTGAGAGCGGTGAGAGATCATGTGTGTGCTGGCCCGGGGAGCATCCAAACCCGGGCCTCTGCATCAGTGGGTGGGCAGGGGTCTCGCGCAGGCCTGTCTGCGTCCCCACAGACACTGGGCCCGTCAGCATCTGCCTGGGGGCCTACCGGCCTGTGCCCAGGGCCCCAAGTGAGAGAGGACGGCCAGTGTCCGGGCCATGGCCCCTAGAGGGGACGACCCAGGGCAGGTCCAGAAGGGGCAGGAGGGCAGTAGCCATCCCACAGCAGGTCCAGAAAGGATGGGAGGGCAGTGGCCATCCCACGGCAGGTTCTGGGGGAACAGGAGGGCAGGGCCCCAGGGTCTTACCAGTTGGTGCAGTCTGTGGAGTATACGGCCCCCGAAGCATAGGTGGCCCCGTTGTACACACAGGAGCACTGGGACACAGGGACACAGCCGGTCTGGCCAATGTCATCGAGCACCATCCCTGCAGAGGCAGGCAGGTAGGCCATGTGGCAGGTGCCGGGCTTTGTCCATCAGGTGACCACGTGGAGGGGACCAGCCCTCTGCCTGTGGTGGCCCTGGCCCCTGGCAGGTCCTCAGACTGAGAACAAGAGGGCCCGGGGAGGCCACGAGTTGGGTCAGAGGGGCCTTCCTTCTAAGTATCTGGCGTGGGAGCGCCAGCCCTCTGGGGACCCAGGATGCATCTGTGTGATTTCGGGGGGGCATGGGGGTAGGGCCCCTCTCACCCTCGGGGCAGAAGCAGCCGGCGACGCAGTGGTCCTCGCAGAGCTGGGAGTGTTCCCGGTTGGAGCAGGTGTCCGAGCAGGGCGAGCCGCACTCGCGGTACTGCAGGTTGAGGGGGCACTTCACGGCTGCAGGGGGGAGGACGGGCCATGTCACGTCCAGCCCCTGCCCCAGGGCCCGAGGCAGGACAGAGTGACAGCTTAGGCCGGGTGGGGCACTCACGGCAGAGGTCGGGGCTCCTCCAGTCCCGCGGCAGCCCCCCGGCGTGGGCGCACTGGCGGGAATACTCAGCCAGGGTGTGGCAGAGGCAGCTGGTCAGGTTGCTATGCTCGCAGAGGCAGAGGTCCTGCTGGCAGGCCTCCACGTAGCTGCCCACGTCCACCAGGGTGTTGCAGCTCGAGAACATCTGGCTGCTCAGGATCTCCTTGCAGACGCCCTGGGGCAAAGGCCGGGGCCACGCTGAATCCAGGCTCCGGGCATCCCCTGGGTTCACAGACCCCCACTGCCTCTGCCAGTGGCTTGTGGGAGCATGACCCCCGCCCCCTGCTGGGCCCCCTTCACTCCTGGGCTTACAACGTCGGTCGAGCAATTCGCCGGGGACGCTGGGATGGGGTCCTGACACTGCTCCATGGGGCCATCCATCTTCTGCAGGTTCCCAAACTCGAAGGGGGTCAGCTTGACGTCTGCAGGAAGCACAACACTGGGCTCTGTACAGGCTCGGTGGCCCTTGCTGCCCCACAACACCTGAGGTGTCCCACCTATGCCCGCCCCCTCCGTCCACACTGCCAGGTTAAGCAGCAGCTACGCAGGACATCTGGGGGGTCGGGAGAGGAGCTGAGGAACCACGGGGGTGTTGGGGGCTGTGGGTGGTGGGCTGAGGTGCGTCTGACGCTCCGTGGCCCACACACAGCCCAGAAGGCTGGAGAGTGACTGTAGGCTCCTGCCAGCCCTCAGAGCCAAGCCAAGCCTGCACTGGGCCTACCTGGCCAGGGACACTGGACACCTGGGCAGGCTCGGTCCCCCACCATGAAGCCCCTATGGGTGGGCTTCATGCGCCTGGTGGAGGGGAGCCGGGAATGGAGGGCTCTGGCTAGTGCTGGTCACACGAAGGGCCACGGCCTGGTGGCAGAGACTCCAGGAGCAGTGCTAGGGTCTCACTGGAGGCAAGTCTGTAATTTCAGGTGAGGGCGTGTGGTCGGGGCACCCACTGCCCAGAGCAACTGCTCTGAGGACAAGAGGGCCCAGCGAAAGTTTTGTTTCCGGCTGCACTGCTGAGAGTGTACTGGCGTGCTAGGACTGTGTGCACGTGTGTGTATGTGTGTGTACACATGTGTGTGCGTGCGTGCATGCTGGGATTGCGTGGTGTGTGCATGTGTGCATATGTGCATGCTGGGATCATGTGGGTGTGTGCAGGTGTGTGCGTGCATGCATGTACATGACTCTGTGGGAATTGTGCGTGTGTATAGGTCTGCGTGTGTGTGTGCACACGCAAGTTGAAGACATCTGACTTGGGATCCCAGAAGGCAGTCTTCAGGGAGCACTGGGAAGGAGCCGGGAGCAGACGGGGCAGGGGCTGGCCATGCCCATAGGGATGGGGGGAGGCTTACTGTGGGAGAAGAACTCGTTGAAGATGGGGACACCGTTGAAGTCTCCGCAGAGCCCACAGGTCTGGTTGGCGTATTTGTTATCCAACTCCAGCTGGAAGGAGAGGACGTGTTGGATGCCTGGCCCCACCGGGGACGCCCCAGGACGAGAAGGACAGACCAGAGTGGAGGCTGACATTCCCAAGGATGGACTGGGGCTTCTCACAGAGGAGACACGGGCCGTGTACCCTCCCCATGCTCCACCTAGCTGTGACCCTGAGCAGGGCTCTGTCCTGAAGGAGATGCCCCACACACGCAGGCTCTCTGTCTCGGGGGTGGAGACCCTGGGGCTCCATTAGTGGCTGGGCCCCAATCCTCACTGGCCATGTGGGGTGGGCTCTGACCTTCCCACCCACCTCCACCCAGAGCACTTTCTTCCCTCCTTGGGGAGGCTGCCAGGCTGGAGGTTTGTGCCCAGCCCCTGGCCCCCGGCCCCTGGCCCCCTGGTCCCCGCCCCTGGCCTCACCAGGAGGCTGTCATCCTGGTTCCACATGAAGACCAGGCCCAGCCTGGCCACCACCTTCAGGTAGCTGCTGCTGTGCTCAATGAGGACCCCGGACTGGCTGAAGGGCAGCCGAACTCTGCAGAGAGAGGGCCCAGGTGAGGCGCTGAGGGCACGCCAGTTCGGGACAACACAGGTCTGGAGCTCAGACAGAGAGGGTCCCTAAGAGCATGTTAGTGATCAGTTCATGGTGCCCGAGGACAGTGCCAGTGGGTGTGAGAAGGACAGGGGACCCTGGAGCTCTGGTGTCACGAAGAACAAGGAAGGGGCCCGCTTCCAGGGGCAGATTAAGAGCCTGGGGCCCCCAGGAGAAGCAGGTGGGCACAGCGCAGGGTCTGGGGAGGCCAGCACCCCACTCCTCTGTCAGCGACTTGCCCATATCCCTCCCACGACCACCCGGAAATGCCCCTGGCTGTCCCAGGGGCCCAAGCTCACAGGCGGCCGTTGACCAGGACGGAGCTCTGGGTCAGCTCGACGACCATGCCATCAAGCTTCATGACGACCCTGCTCAGTGTGGTGGTGTTGGAGTCCCGGCCGCGGCGGAGCTGGACGTTGAAGTCCTCGTAGGCGGCCCCGCAGTGCGCGGAGAAGACGTAGTTGCAGAGGCCGGGGAAGCGGAAGACATCGCCGTCGAAGGTCTTGTAGTGGAAGTCGCCCCAGGTGCTGCACACCCGCCCGTTGTGCGCTGGGTTCAGGGCTGTGGGCAAAGCAGCCGCCCGTTCTGAAGGTGCCGCCCCCGCCCCGCGCCCCATGCGCCCGAGTCCGGGACACCCGAGGGCAGGGCATCCTGGGACTTGGACTCTTTTCCAATACTTGTTCACTGTCCACCTGGAAAGCTGGCACCCCTTGCCAGCCGGCCCCTCCCGGCCTGAGGGATGGACAGCTCGGTCAATGCGGCACCCCCAGCCCAGCCTCTTGAGGTCTCACTCACCTCGCACCACGGGGGTGGTCCTCAGAGGCGGGAGGATGGTCACCACACGAAGTGGGTCACCTGTGGGAATGGGGTCACGGTAACACACAGCCCCGGCCCCCACCGCCCACAGGCGTGGCTTCTTGTCTGAGGACATGTTTTAGAGTTAGCCATTGGAGGCTGCTGACTCCCAAGCCATCTTTGGTTCTGCCGTGTGTGCAGCCCCCCTGCCCCTTGAATACAGGGCAGCAAAGACTTCTGCAGGCCAAGTGGCCGTTCCTTTCCACTGGATTCTCGCCGGGAGAGGACCCCAGGGGTCGTGAGCGCTCACGCCCATGTGGCCCAGACACTGTTTGCACATGGGGGTTCCTTGCGCCTGGAATCTCAAAAATGCCTGTATCAACATCAGCAGCTCACCACCTCCCCTGGGTTCTGAGACCAGGCACAGCCTCTCCCAGTCTGGGGAAATGTAAACTGAGACCGGCTGGGTTTGCCCCTGGAGCCTCCCCTTCTGTTGGGGCGTCTGGCCGTGCTGGGTCCGCCCCTCACCCACCCAGGGCTGCCAAGGACTGCACCGACTACATCCCCTGACCTGCATGCCCAGCAAGGGCAAGCATAGAAACACCCAGAGAGGCTGCTCGCCAGCCCTGCTCAAGGCGAGAGAATGCACGTGCAGCTGAAATATCAGGAGTTAGCAGGGAGAAGAGAAGACATGGCAGGGAGCTCAGCTGGCCTGCACTCCCTTCTGCAGTGTGATGGGGGGACAGCAAGTAGCCTGCAGGAGGCGGCCAGGTGACACTCCAGGGCCATGTATGTGGGGGTGTCCTCCAGTACCCCAAGATCGGATCCCTTGGTGGTGGCCCAACATGAGTGGTCCCCGGGGGGCTGTGCCACGCTGGGACGGGGCAAGGCAGCTCTGACAGCTGGGGGTCCACTCACCGCTGGGCCCCTGGGCGACGGGAGAGACGTCCGGGTGCTCATAGCTGGGTTCCGCGGAGCTGTCCTGGGCCTGGCCTGTGGGAAGAGGAGAGGGCACAGGGCCTGAGCTGGGCAGGCAGGGCAGGCGCCTCGCTGTCAGATGGGGCACATGGAGGGAAGGACCTGGAACGGGTCGGGGTTCTCTGTGTGTGGGGTTGGGGAGGGGTCTCTGTCTACGTGGCTGAGCATCTGAGATCGCCCCAGGCCCACAGCTGAGCACAACCCTCCTTGAATATCCCCTCTTCTTGGCCCCACGAGCATTTGTTGGGGGAAGCCCCAAGCTGGTGTCTCCAGGGACCATTGGCTCCTTCACTGTTGTTCATTCACACCGAGTGTCTACCGTGGGCCAGGCGCTGGTCTCCCAGCTCGGGACGCGGGGACGACACCCTGCCCTGTGCCACGGCCCATTGAGGGATCAGACAGTAAAAAGCACGGACCTGTGATGGCTGGTCAGGGGGTGACAGGGCTCTGGAGGAAACTTTGGAGCAGGTTGGGGGCCCCAGGGGCCAAGAGTGGGGACAGGGCTGCACCCTACACAGGGTGCTCAGGGCCGCCAAGCAGGTGAGGGCTCCGCACAGGGGAGGCCAGGGCAGGGGGCCGAGGCCACCTCAGAAACCTGGCAGACCCTATGAGGCTGATTTCTGGGGTCCTCAGTGGCTGTGCCAGTGTGGCAGGAGGGGCGTCTGGCCCACCACCCAGGACCCTGAGGGGGCAGGCCCAGGCTGGATGGTGTGGACGGGGGCGGGCACAGCTTCACCCCCAGGCATGCCCCCTTTCCTCGGCTCACCCCGGGACGACCTGCCCTCATCCTGAGGTGTGCTGAGAGAAGGCCCGGGGAGGGGGTGGGGGCCGGCCCAGCAAGAGGGCAGGAGGGAGAGCTTCCTGGCTCTGGGTCTGAATGGCAGCAGCAGAAGGCTGGGGGCGGATGTGTGAGCCCTGTGGGGTAGCGTGGACCTCGGCAAGCTGTGTCGCGGTCCCCACACTGCTGAGTCCTGCCCTGCCATTCCAGGAGCCCCAGGAGCGTCACCCCCGACCCTGGGTGGCTCCCCCTGGAGCACGCTGTCACCCCACATCTGTCCAGGACCCAGCTGCCCCCTGGGAAACAGAGGGAGGGAGGCGCAGGCCCCAATGGGAGGGGGCCCTCAGAGGGCCACAGGGACCGTGAGCTTCTCCTCAACACCCTCACAGCTGTGGGCCTCACCAGCACCCCCACTCAAGGCTGAGACCCCCAGGAGCCGCCCATTGAGGCCCAGAGGGGGAAAGTGAGTTGGTGAACTGGGGATGCATGAGGGGGGTTCCCAGGGCAGGCGGGCAGCTCCCCAAGGCTGGCCCAGCAGTCCGAGAGCCTGCAGACCGGGCCTGGCAGGGGCAGAGGGCAGCGAGCAGCAGAGAAACACACACACACCAAACTCTGTGGGCCAAGGTCTGGCCGCGAACAGGGAAGGTGGGCAGAGGACTCAGAGACGCTGGGCTCCTGCTTCTCCAGCTCAGGGGAGCAGCCCGACCAGAGAGGCCCCTGCTCCGACTTGGACCCCTACAGACCCCAAGAGCCCTATCCAACCACACGAGCTGGAAACTACAAGATGGTGGGAGCCAGGGGCAGGGGCCCAGCTGCCAGGTGCCACTCGCAGACACACTCAGCTTGCCTGGAGGCTGGGGCAAGGCGTCCGAGCTGCCTGTTGTTCACCCGCGACCAGGGTCACCCCAGGACTCAGGAGAGCAATGGGGGCGCTGGGCTGTGGCCAGGGCTGGCCTAGGAGAGCCACCCAGCACGAGCCTTACCTGTGTGCTGGGCACAGGCCAGGGCGAGAGCCAGGGCCCAGAGCGGGGCCAGCCTCCTCTGGCCGACACCCATCGTGTGGAGGAAGGGGAGAAGTCCCCAGGGGTGGCCTCTGAGGAGGCACCCGAGTCGGCAGGAGCCTTTTGTAGCCCCAGAGCTGGCCCCAGCCCAGCCTCTTCACGTGGTGGGCGGGGCAGGGCTGCGTTCCCCTCACCCAGGTAAACAGTGGGTACTCACTCCAAGCTGGCTGGCGGCTGGAGACAAGTGTTATCTGCCAGGTGCAGGCCAGTTTCCTGAGGGGTCCCCAAGTCCTGGCTCACGTGCATCCTCCTGCCGGGCCCCCACCCCAGACTTTCCCTGGGCAGGCTTCCATGCAGCTGACCCCTGAGATCCTGGTGCCTGGAGACGCTGCCAGCATCCTTGCTGCTGAGGGCTGCCAGGGCAGGGCTGGCCCTCACTGGAGAGGGGCTCAGGAGGCAGCTCCCCCAGGGACAGGACCCTTCCCCAGGCAGCCCCCGCCCCCCAACACTACCTGGGCCCCTGGTGTGCTTCAGGCTCCTGGCCCTAGGTGGGCAGTGGGAAGCCACGAGCCAGCTCTACTCACATGTGGGCCTGTGGCCCCGAGGGGCAGGAGTGGCTATGCCCACCAGGCTGGAGAGAGGCCAACCAGCCCCAGCCCAGAAACCATCTGGCAGGTCTTTACCCTGACGGGCTCCAGCTGAGAAGATGCTGTAGGGTGACGGAGACCTGGCCCTGACCACGGGTGTGCGAGCCCAGGGCCTTGTCTGGGTGCCGAGCATGGGGATGGACTCTCCTCCCTGGTGGCCACACACCTCTGCCAGGACTGGCAGCTCTGTTGCTCACAGGTGGCCCTGACCAGGAGGCGCCCTGGGGAGAGGTGGCAGCAAAAGGAGTGGGCGCTGGGAGGGTCTGGGGTGGGGGGCACCTCGAAGCTGTTCTGAGCACTGGCTTCCCACTCTCTTGGGGCCAGTCCCAAGCTCCTTCTGGTCACCTGTTCCCTGAGCCATCCCCTCCTGTGCTTCCAACTGGCCCTGGAAGCTGGAGAGAACGACTCACACATCACACCAATGTGAGGGAGTCGGGGAGGATGAATGAGGAAATGAATTAGTGAATGAGTGAGGGAGTGAATGAATGCATGAATGGGTGAGGGAGTGAGTGATCACACAGGAGGCCTGGATGCCTGGTGGGGTGAGTGAGTGGAGCCCCCAGCAGACTGCTGCCTCAAACGTTCTTGACCAGGCCAGCACGGCTGGGGCGTCCCTGCCCAGCCTTGGAGCTGGTCACCAGGTCACCGGGTACTGAACAGGGCAGAGGGGTCCTCAGTCAGTGTGCGGACAGCGCGTCCCCAGGGGCAGGCAGGGTGGCCAGGTCTGGCTCCGAATGGCTATGTGGCTTTGTGGTTAGGATGTGGACGCTGGGAACTGGTGCCAAGGGGAGGCTCATAGGTCTCTGGATGGGGGCCAGGACCCAGGCCGACAGGCATGTGGGTGACACGGGCCTGCCCTCCTTACACCCCCGGAAAGGCAGGGAGTGACAGGTCAGCCAGTGTCCACACCCCCAGCACGGGACACAGGCCTGAGTCCATGAGGCAACCCCTGACCCTTCTGAGTCACCACCTGGCCCTCAAAAAGGGGCATGCCCTGCGTGTCCGAGGCTGGGCTGAGCCCCCCAGGCAGTGGGCACCCATTGGCCACCCAGAGTTTGCAACCTGGGCACCTCCAGGCCACCACACATCCCTGCCCCAGAGTTGACATCCCTTTCTGGGTGCATCCTCCACGAGATGCTGCCCAGCGCCGCTGCCGGGGTCGAGCGTGGCTGTAACTGACCATGCTGGCGTCTGTGCTGGCCTGGCTGCACTGGGCTTCCTCCTGGGATCCGATTTGCACCATAGGACATAGGACCAGGCCACCCACCTGTCTCCTGAAAATCCAACCCAGGCTGACACCTCAGGAGGCGCCAGGCCTGGCACCTGCACATGTCTGAGATTTCCTGGCTCTCAAGGGACCCATGGGGAGGAGTCTGGAGTCAGGGCAGGTGTGGGGCTAGTAATCTGGCCTCTAAACTCAGGGTCCTTCTCACTCGTGACCTCCCCAATCCAGGGGGGTAGTGTGGAGGGGCGGGGGCTGGGGGTCCTTTAAAGCAGCCAGCAGCAACCCTGCCCACCCGCTGTCCGGGGGCTTCCCACTCAGTGCGTGCAGTGCAGGGGAAGGGGCGAGGCTGGGACAGCCTCTGCCTCTCCAAACCTCAGTTTCGTCATCTGAAAAGGGGTCTGTGAATATCCTTGCAGAAAGGGGATCATGTGGGCAGGGGACCTGCAGTAGGGATGCTGTGTGCTGTGAGTGGGCGGCACACATGGGGACACGCCTGGCCCAGGGTCCCCAGGGGCCACACAGCCTGTACCTGGGCCTCTGCCAACCCCCCACGCAGACCTGATAAATGGCACCAGCGAGAGAGGGCTGGGGTCCAGCCCTGGCAGGAGCTCCGCGTTGCTGTGGAGACAGGGGTGCGTGGAGGGATGCAGGAGCAGGGTGGAGGGCCCAGCTGGGTCCCAGAGCATCGCTCTTGCTGTCACCACTATCGCCAGGTTGCTGACTCATTCCGGCCGCTGTGATTGGGGACAGGAAGCCGGTATGAGATAGCCCCCATTTGTCACGGGACCAGCACTGACCCAGGTGTGGAGGAAATGCCCGGCCTGCCCAGGATCTAGCCGTGAGCAGGGGCCCCCTGGGGGAAGAGGACCCCACAGGTGGGGGTGCAGCCTGGGTGTCCCTGCCCACTGGCCACTCCTCCACCAAGTCCAGTGCTCCCCTCTCAGGGGCAGGGGTGAAGGCAGAGCCCAGGCCCTGGGACCCCTGACCAAGGACAGCCTGCTCCTCACAGCTCTGTCCTCAGAATCCTGGTGGGATGGCAGCAGTCACAGCTCCCTCAGAGGTCTCCTTCCCTCGGCAGAGCCCTGGGGCTGCCGCCAAATCCTCTCCCTTCCTGCTCCTCTGACACCATCAGTAAAGCAGGTGCCCCTGGGCTCCTTGGGAGTACGGGGCCCCTGGCCTGACCCTGACCTGACGCTGACCCCAGCCTGGCCCAGCCCAGCCCAGCTGTCACTGGTCAAGTTGACCAGAGTGGGGGACTGGTTTCAACACTGCTGTCCCCATCTGGGATTTACCCCCACCCTCAGGCTGGTCACTTCCATTCCAGTTTCTGGGCACAGCTGAGGTCCCAACACAGATGAGCCTCAGGGCTTTGGGGTCGCAGGCCCTGGACAGCAGGACCCGGGGAGGCCATGCCCTGCCTTCCTTCTCCTCTGCGAGGCTGCGAGGTGGGACCCCCATCCTGGGGAGGCCGGGCGGGGCTTTAAGGTGACGGGATAGCTTCAGCCCTTCTCATGTTGGGTTCTGGGGCTTGGTGCCCCCTGTCCAGGACAATGGGATGAGCATAGACTGTCCTGCCAGAGTGACCAGGCAGCTGGGACCCAGGCCTCCCCCATGGCCTGGTGCCCTCAAGGGGGCTGCTGTTGGGACAGACTCGAATTTCACCCTCCCAATGGGGGCACATCCCCAACCCACAGCTCAACACCTGCGCCCTGAATGCCAGGGGGCCCCCAACCCCCTTCCCTGGGGCAAAGGCCAGTCCTGGACCAGCCACGCGTCTCAAAGCAAAGCATTGGTCCACACACAGTGGAGCAGACGGCTGTCTCCAGGCCCCACCAGACCCTGCTTGCAGGCCCGTCTCGGGCAGCCCTGAGTATGAGGCCAGCTGCTCAGGTGCCCTGACAACAGCTAGCCGCGGATGGAGCGCCTGGTGGGCTGGGAACACTTCTGGGGGCCCCATTGTTTAATTCATTCAACCCTTTAAAAAACCCATACCCCTGAGTGGTAGGAACTGGGGTCATCCCCACTTTGCGAATGACACAGGAGGGAGGCGCCCGGCCAGGGAGGGGCCAGCCAGAACTCAAACCCAGGGCCGGGGCTCCAGACTCTGGGAGAAGGGAGTATCCTGGCTCTGGCACCCACTAGCTGTGTGGCCCCTGGGCCAAGGCATCACCCTCTCTGTGCCTTGCTCTCCTCATCTGGAAAATGGCGATCACAGGACCCACTCAGAGGACCGTGGCCTCAAGGATGAAATGAGTTGATGAGCAGGTAAAGCGTCCTCTGAGGTGTGTCTGGTCCCAGGAAGTGCCCCACACAGGGTCTGCCACCCCCATTCCCCTGAGACTTTGGGTGAGTCCCCACAAAGCTCCTGCTTCCTCATCCGTGAAACTGGGCCATGATGCCACACTGGAACACTTCTTGGACTTTTTGCCCGTTCTAACAAATCTGGAATTGCAGTCCCTGCCACGTCAAATTGTGCATCATGTTGGTTAATCAGGTAGCACCTTCCTCTCCTGGCGGCACCGAAAATCACAGTGCAGTTTCTGCTCAGTGGGGGCTTAGCGTCCATGCCTTGCAGTCGTGCCTGACATGCAGGGGTCGCCAGGAGGGCCGAGGGCTGTGGCCCAGGCTGCGCCCCCAACAAGCAGCTGCCGTGACTGCGGACGTCACAGATTGAGGAGGAACTGGGCATTTTGGGGCCAGGTTCCCGCCTCTCCACATGACAGAGAATGACCTCAGACAAAGAGGGTGAGTCCCTCAGAGCCGCAAAGAGGAAAGGGCTGCGGCTGGGAACCACCGATAGCTCACAAGACTTATCGCGGCTGTTGACTCAAAGGGCAGGTTTGGCCGTGGATTTTCTCCAAGCCAGGAACTTCCTCGATAAGGAAGAAGGGATCCTAATCGCTCCCTGCTTTGCTCTGGGGCCAAGGGATAGCCATCCGGGGTGAAGCCCACAGGTGGGGCCGGCCTCCGGGTGAGGGAGAGACCCTCCCTGGACTGGCTAGGGGGGGCGTGCTCCAGAAAGGGAGCGGAGAGTAAATTTGGTTTTATGGCGGGGCCACATTGATTTGGAACCTTCCTACGTGTATTTGTTTATCTGAATCACTGGGCAAACAGAATTCCTCCCGAGATCTGGCCTGGCTGCTGAAGCCCTGAGCCCCAAGGTCCACGGCTCTGGCTCAGGGACCAGCTCCCCCAGCCCACATCAGTAGTGATGCCCCACC